GTCGCCGGTATCCTGGCCATGTTCCTCGGGGGCCAGGAGACGGGCGCTGCCTGGGCTGGCGCCCCAGCTCGGGAGAGCAAGAAGTCGTGGTCCTGATGCGTTCCAGGATTTCCAGGTGCTTTGTTTCGAAGAGGAGAAGGCACCATAAGCATAACCTTTTGGCGCTCCGCGCGGATTTCTTGGACCCGCGCTGGGCCTCCCCGGCGGCGTCTCCGGCTTCGCCCCAGGGAGGGGGTTCTAGCGCAGATCCAAGAAATCCGCGCGGAGCGCCAACAGTTTATGTTTATGGCGCTTTCTCTTCTTCTATTGTTGTCCCGCGCGGCCACAGACGAATGGCCCATTCATCATGGATGATTGCGAATGGCCGAGGGCCGCTAGAAACTGTGGATCTCCGGTATGCTGCGCCAGCCGTATCCTGAGCCAGCCAGCCGCATCCTGGGTGCGATGCGTCGCGGGTAAACAGCAAAAACTTACATTGTTCTTGTCCTGCTGGCGGGAGGGAGAAGAAGGGGAGGAGGGGGAGGCGGAGGACGGGGAGGAAAGGGAGGAGGGGCGGGCAGAGGACGGGGACGAAGCAGAGGAGGGGAGGAGGGGAAGAGAGGGGGGGACGAAGGGGAGGACAGGTACAACTGGGCGGAAGGTCCGAATGCTAGGGAAGGGGAGGAGGGGGGAGGACGGCGAGGAAAGGGAGGAGGAGGAAGGGAGGAGGAGGACCAGCGTAAACCAAATATTCATCAACGATATTGCAATAATCTTTCCCTCCAAGTTCCCTCTTCATAGGCCCCTACGAGGGTTCATTTTCACTACGGGAAGTGCCCCGTTGAAGACAACCGTTTGAAAATCCGGAGTTGTACCAGAACGCCATTCCTGGGACTTTATGCCGCGAGTCACCATGACTATTTCGTCTTGACGGATTGAATCGAGCTAGAACGCCATTCCTGGCACTTCAACACCGCGAATCAACTTAACTGTTGCGCTTTTACAGTCCGGCGCGATGCCACAGCACCGTTTCTGGAACGTTGACCAGGAGATTCCTTGAAACCCTTAACGAGTGTGCGCAGCGCTAAGGCGAGAGCCACATTTTGAGAACAGCACGCTCTCCATCAGCGAAGCTCTGCAAATGTTTAAGCCCAGTGTGCGCGGCGTTTGGGCGAGAGCTACATTTTGAAAATGGTCCGCCCTCCATCCGTGAAGCTCATGCAATTTTGTATAGCGAATGCGCGCGGAGCTGAGGCGGGAGCCACGTTTTGAAAACGGCCCGCCCTCCATCCGTGAAGCTTTTTGCAATTTCGTTGCAACGAGTGTGCGCGGCGTTAAGGTAAGAGCCACATCGTGAAACTGGCCCGCCCTCCATCCGTGAAGCTCTCTGCAGCCTTAGATAACGAGTGTGCGCGGAGCTGGGCCTCGATCCCTGACGTTTTTTGCAATTTGCAAAAACGAATGTGCGCTGCGCCAGGGCGAGAGCCATATTTTGAAACCGGCCCGCCCTCCGTACGTGAACCTGTTGCAAATTTTAAGCTTCAAGATCGTAAGTGGTGAAGAAGTCTCGGGCGCAACGCCCAGCCCGCCCTTTCGACTGGCCTCGGAGTGCGACAGGGATCAGTTATTTGTAAGGAAGATGGATGCAGGGGAGAACGCACGAAATATTTTGACATAATCGGAGGCGTTGCAGTGTAGAGATCGATTGGATCTCTGCGACGGGTCTCTGTCGTTGTGCTCGTCGCCGCAAGCATGCGAACGCCAGCGCGACACGTGAACAATACGCTACATTGGTAGTGTCACGGCGCCTCTGCGTCAACATAAGCAGGTGTGGCACACGATTTTTGATTATTGTCCATGTTTGACGGAGGGAGGGCCTGAGGAAAGCATGAGCTGGAGGAGGAAGCGGCACGGTGGCCGAGGCCAGCATCCTCTTCGGGGACCGCTCCCCTGCTGGGAGGCTGCCGCTGATGCTCCCGGCGACGGAGGACGGGCCCCGCTGCGAGCGGGCACACCGCCACTAGACACTCCTGCGTGGCTGAGCGAGGCGTGCTCGTAGTTGCACACGGAGGCGCGCCCTGTCAGCAACCCCGCTCGCCGAAGTTCAGGAGTAGAGGGAGGTGATGAGCAGCCCGTTCGTGATCCCCTCACGACAACGGCGGTCACCGGGGGGAGGAGGGGGGGCGGGGGGGTCCGGGGCGGTAGCCTCACGACCCGTGCCAGCACCGTCTGGGAGTTGGTTATCCCTGGCCGTTCCCAGAGCTTTGCCTGCCCCTCGCTGCTTTTTGTCGTTCTTCCCTCCTCTCCCCTCCAGCTCTGCTGCCTCCTCGCTCGTTCTCTTTCCTGCCTCTCTCTGCGCAACTCTCCACTTGGTCTGCGTTGCTGCTGCCGCCTCCCTTGTCGTCAGTCCTGGTCCTCGGTTCCTCTATGCTTGCTGCTTGCGTCCCTCTCCCTGCTGTTGCTGCTGCTGCTGCTGTCCATGTGATTCTCTGTGCAGTCGCACATGCAGTGCTGACTGACGTCAGTCTTAGATCTGATAGATACGGATCGGGGGCATCAGCCTTTCCCTCTTTCTTATCGCTCCTTCACTTCGTGCCTCCTCCTTCTGCAGGACATTAGTGGCGCAGCATTGTCGTAGCCAGGTTGTCGCGTTGGGCGTGTGGGCGCCAGGTGCAGTCCAGCCCCCTTTCTAGGCGTCGTTCTTTCTGGCATGCGCGATGTGTTTCTGGCCGATTGGTGCCTGTGTGTGCTGTTGCTCCAGCCATACCATCGAGAGGCGATCCGTGATACGTTGCTCGTCGGATACCCACGCCCCCCTCCCTTGACGTCCTCTCCCCTCTCTGTAGGTGATACGCTGGTAAGAAACATAGATGCGCCCCATGATATAGCTGCGCTGGTCATAGCAAAACATGTCGCCGCGCCGTTTGTTCCAGCGCGCGGCCTTGTGCATTTGGAGGGCGCCGCGGACACCAGGGCAAACGCCGCCTCGGACGCGGTGTGCTTGCCGTGGGCTTTGCCGTGGTGCCGGCTGCGTCTTGTTGGGCGCGGGATGCAGGGCTTGCCGTGGGTTGTGCCGTGGTGGCGGCCTCGTCCGCTCGGGCGCGTCGAGAACAGCCAGCGCGGCGACGCCTGAACATTCATGCTGGACCTGGCGCTTGTCCAGCAGGTCCCATGATGCCCGCCCAGGGCACACTTCTTTTCAAACCATACTCGAAAACTATCCACACATTGCAATCAGATACTAAAAAAGAACTCGTCCCCAGACTATGTTACATACTCTTTTCACAGCCTCGTGCCACCGCGCGGGGCCAAATATTCGAGGTCGGGCCGCGGTCGCCCAAGGGGGCGGAGGGTCCAGCTGCCGTGGCCCTCGTCGCCCAGCCTGGGCGCGGGTGTGTAGCTGTTGGCACGGGCGTGGGTTCAGGCGCGGGCCTCCCGCTTTTTCCACTACCGACTTGCATGGCCGTGGCTGGATTCTTGCATCATGGCGCGTTCGACTTGGTTCGTTTGCAATTCCACCTGCTGGCCGTGCCTGAGGCTCCTCTGCGCCGCCAGCTTGAAGAAGGGCGTGGGCGTGTATTTTGGGTGTGTGGCTTTTGGACGTGTGCTTGGGCACTGGTGTGGACTCGGCCTCGTCGTCGTCGTCGTCCTCGCCGTCGTCGTTCGCCCTCGCCGTCCTCCTCGTCGCCATCGTCCTCGACGGCCCCGGGTGTGGACCAGGCGCGGGACGGACGTGGTATTGGACGTGGTTTGCGCTTGCACTCGCGTTCCATTCCTGGGCTTCCATATCGAGGGGGCCCCGCAATGATTTCCATGCGCGCTAGGTTGCACACGCGCGCGCAGGGCTTCATGCCCGCGCGCACGTATGCTTCCACGCACATCCAGTTCAACACATCGCAGTCCACACAGCCGCAGAGCTCCATGGAGATCCACGTGATTGGGTTTCATGCCTGGTCCACGAATGGGTTGTTCAGGCCGTGACCGCTGGCATCGTTTTGATGCATCCCCCCATGAAGCAACCTTGATTGGGTTTTCCCACATCTAGGATGGGATTTTGTTTTCTCTGCCCCACCACGCGCAGGATCTCCTCCTCCTTCTCCTTCTCTTCCACACGCACTCACGCAATTTTTCGCTCATGCGTTCTCACGCAGTCATCGTCATCATCATCACCACCACCATCATCATCGGCAGCATCACGTTCATTATCACCATCATCGCCCCTTACTGGCATCATCTTTCAGCACCATCAGTCTCATCATCAACATCATCATCACCATGATCATCATCACCATCGTTACCATCATCCACATTCATCCGATCACATTTACCCATCACCCACATATCATCATGCCAAGATCATCATCATCGTCCTCGCCATTATCGCCACCATCGTCATCACCAACATCACCACCGCTACCACCACACGCACACACATGCACGCACACAGAACCACACAAACACACAACTACACGCACACACACACGCACACACACAATACTACACACAATCACACACACAAACACACACAGACAAACTCATACACACACACACCCACGCGCACAGACGCACGACTCACAAGCACAACCCATACACACAAGCATACAACCACGGAACCCCACAAACGCACACAAACACACAAACAGACACAACACCAACCGCACACATACACATGCACAACCACGCGCACAAACACACACAACCACACAGCCACACACACAACCAACCCAACCACGTAAACACACCACACTACCACACAGACACAGACACACAGCCACACAACCACACAGCCACACATTCACATAATCACACAACCACGCACACACAGTAACACACAACACACACAACCACACAAACATTCAACCACACAAGCGCGCAACCACACAGACACACGCCCACACACAAGCACATAAACACACACGCACACTAACACACAAGCACACAAGCACACTCTCTCTCTCACACGCACACGCAAATACATTACCACACAACCACACGCACACATACACACCAAACACACACCCACACCCACACCCACGCCCACGCCCACGCCCACACACACACAAACACACAAACACACACATAAACACACAAACACACACAGACACAGACAGAGACATGCACAGTCACACACACACACACTCATTCATACACACAGAGACAGACACACACACACACACATCCGTAGCCATTTTGGCTCAAGCCTGCCTTGGGCGCCAGGCGAGCCAGGTGTGCGCCGTGTCTCTCCCTCTCGTATGCAGGGAGCGGCTCAGTCTCCTTCCCCTGCTCGCGGCACTCGGCAATGGCTGCGGTCCCGCCCCTGGATGGGGCTGCTGCGGCGACTCTCGCCCCGCTGATGCGAGCGGCGGCGGCTGGAGCAGCCGCGGGCAGCGGCGGGTGGCAGCGCGTCGCCGCTGCCGTTGCGGCGACCCTCTGCATTGGCGCCGAGATCGCGCCGAGCTCGGCGCTGGGGCCGACGCGGTGCCGACCACGGCGCGCCAGGCGCGGAGCCGAGGGCGCGGGCGGCGGCACGACCCCTCTCGCCTCCGCCAGGTCGGCCGCAGAGGGCGGCGGCAGCAGCGCGGCAACGGCGGCCTTGTATGTGGAAGGTCTCGGCGACGCGCCGGGGGTGCAGTTTCAGAAGTCTAGGGACTGGCACTCCGCGTTGGGCTCGGCGGGGCTCCACATCGGCTCCACGGCGGTTTCGGTTGCGTCCGACTGGGGGCGAACGGGCGCCTACTGCGAGGCATGGGCGGAGGTCAGTGTGCTTCGGCAGAAGATTTCTGCTGCCCTCCAGCTGGCCTGAGCTTGCGGATGAGTGCATGCAGCTCCGTGCGCTGGCGTGGCGTTACTCGCGGCCGCCCGTGGCGGGGACCACTGGCGAGTTGGCGGCGCTCGCCGAGGCGCAGCAGCAGCCCGATGGGGACCGTGACGGCGAGGCAGGCATCTACGTTCTCGCCCTGGCCGTGCAGGAGCTCGACCACGACGCGGAGGAGAGCTGCGACTCCAGCAGCTCTAGCGACTCTGACAGCGATGGCAGCTCCAGCAGCAACTCCAGCAAAGCCAGCAACTTCGACAGCGACGCTGGAACTACTGGTGCGGGTGCTGGCCCTGCGCGGGGCCGTAACCACGATGGCGACGACTCCTCCGAGGCGGTGGGCGACGGTGACGGCGTCCACAGCGACGTGGCCCTGGAGGGCATTGTCGCATCCGAGGTCGACGCCGAGCCCGTGGGTGCGGCGAAGACGGCCGCCGACGGAGTCTCCGATGAAGGCCGCAGCGCGTGTGAGCTGGGCGGACGCCCTGGATGCAGGCGGCGACGACCTGCCTGAGGTGGCGGCGTCGATCGAGGGTGAGTCGCACGACGGGCGTCTCGAGTCCGACGAAGGCTCCAACGACGACGGCTTCGTGGACTCGACGACGACGCGCGCGGGCCCAGCGACGGCTGAGGCTGGAGCGACGCACTGAGGCCCTGGCGGTTGGCGATCGGGTCAAGGTCATCGCGCCGCTCGTCGCACTCGGCTGGGCCCGCCACCGCGTGCCCTGCGCGTTCCGAGGTGTGGTGGTCTGCGTGGGCCTTGCCAACGGCCTCGCAGATGGCGAGGCAGGGGGTCGAGTCGGATGGACCCCGAGACGCAGGCGGCCGGGAGGGGGCAGCGGCCGTGGCCTCGGCGCAGGATCGGAGGTGCCTCTCCAGGCTCGCTGCTGGGTAGGCCAGCCTGTCAGGGGGCATCGCACGTGGCCGCGAGGGCACTGTTGTTGAGCTCACGGGAACTCCATGTTAGCAGTGTGCGACGCTCGGGGGGGCGTGGGTCGAAGTGCCTGGCTCTGTGTGCTGACCTCCGGGGCTGGTGCTGTAAATCTCGCAAGCGGGTGTCGGTCCATTGTCCCTGGCTCCACCTGCTGGCCTCCAGGGCTGTCTTCATAGTGGTCTGGTTTTCGATGCGTGCGCTGTTGTGGAGCTGGGGCTCGATGTTGGCAGCGTGGTCTTCGGTGTGCGCGCTGTTGAATTGGCGGGGACTCGAGGTTACGTAGCAGTGTGAGTCGCGCGAAAGGGGGGCGGGCCGAAGTGCCTGGCTCCCCGCGCTGGCCTCCTGGCTGGGGCAGTGAACTGCATTTTGTCTTCTCGTGCCGCTTCCCTGCGGCGGAGTCTGCGCCGCGCTGCTTCGGCGGGCCTGGCTTGCCGTGCCGGTGCAAGTGGGCGATCTCCTCGGCCCTCCTGGGCCGCGCCTGGGTGCCCACCTGAAAGGAGGCGCTATCGTGGCGGGGCGGCGCCTTGATTTTGATCTGGGTGCGATGTTCATCGGCCTTCGGTTCGCGCGCGCACAACGCACGCGCGCGCGAGCGCACCCACGCACACACGTGCGCACGCTCACGCGCACGCGCGCGCGCGCCCGCCCACCCGTCTGCGCCCCCGCGCGCCCGCCCGCTCGCGCGCGCGCACGCACTTCCTGGCATCGCGGACCCGCGCGCGGCGACGGGGCGTAGAAAACGCACGCGCGCGCACGCCTGCATTCTGGCACGCAGACACGTGCGCACGCATGCACACACACACACACGCACCCACGCACTTCCGCACCCGCGCACCCGCGCACCCACGCACCCACGTATACACACGCGCGCACGCGCACACGCGCGCGCACGCACACGCACACGCACACGCACACACGCATACGCGCGTACGCACGCACGCACACACGCTCACGCACGCACACACGCACACACACATACACACCCACGCGCGCACCCACGCACGCACTCACATACAATCACGCACGCACACACACACATACCGCACTGACACTGGTGCACACCACAATCACACCACGCGAACACTCGCACACGCACGCACACGCACGCACGCGCACACGCGCGCACACGCACACACGCACACACACACGCACGAGCACGTGGACGCGCACAGGCACACACACACACACGCACACGCACACGCACACACATACGCACACACGCCCAGCCACATGCACGCGCGCACGCACACGAAGACGCACACGCAAACGCACACGCACGCGCGCACGCACATGCACGCGCACACGCAAACGCACACGCACACGCACGCGCACAAGGACACGCACACGCCCGCGCACGCGCCCGCGCCCACGCACACGCACGCGCAAGCGCCTGCGCACGCGCACACGCGCACACGCACGCGCACGCGCACACACGCGCACGCACACGCATACGAGCACGCACCCGCACGCGCAAACGCCGACGCCCACCCACGCGCGCACGCAAACGCACAAGGACACGCACACACGCACACGCATGCGCACACGCACTCGCGCACGCACGCGCGCACGCAAAGGCACGCGCACGCGTGCGCGCGCAGACGCGCGGGCACACACGCACGCACACTTTTTGGCCTCGCGGCCCTGCGCGCGGCGACAGGGCGGAGAAAGCCTTAAAGCAGCGAGCGCGCGTGCGCGACCAGGAACGGCGCACGCGCGCGCGCGTACGCACACACGCACACACACAAGACACACACACACACACACGCGCACACACACACACACGCACACGCACACACACAACACACAACACACAACACACAACACACAACACACAACACACAATACACAGCACACAACACACAACACACAACACACACAGGTGCACACACGTGCACGCACGCGCGCGCACACGCACAAGCACGCGCAAACGCACACGCACACGCGCACACGCACACGCACACGCATACGCGCACACGCACGCGCACACGCACTCGCACAGGCTCACGCGCACACGCAGGCGCACACGCAGACGCACACGCACACGCGCACGCACACGCGCAGACGCACACGCACAAGCATGCGCACACGCACACACCCACACGCACACATCCACACGCACACACCCACACACACGCACGTACACGCACACGCACACGCACACGCACACGCGCACGCACGCGCACACGCGCATACATACATACACGCGGACATATACACACGCACGGAACCATTTCAGCTCAAGCCTGCCTTGGCCCGTGGGCGCCAGGCCAGGGGGTGCGCGGCGGTTCTCTCCGTGTGGAGCTCCGTCGTTTCGGCGGGCACAGTGAGCGGCTCGGTTTCAATCCCCCACCCGCGGCAGCCTTTGGCGATGGTGGCGATCGCTCTCCCGCCGGGGGGCCATCCGGCTGCCGAACTGAAGGTCGTGGCGGCGCCGGTCGGGAGGTGCTGCGGAGGGTGGAGCGCCCAGGCAGGTCATGGCGGCCGTCGCGGCGGTGACCATCAGACGGTCCGCGCGATGGCCGCGGCTGCGAGCAGCGACAAGGGCGTCCTGGGCTAGGTGGGTGCTCCTCTGGACCTGATGGCGCCCGCCATCGCGGAGAACGTCCGCGCGGCGGCCGAGGCGCGGCGGCCGCGGGTCGCTGGCGGCTAGCGCGCGCGGCGTAATGTGTCGGAGCACGTCTTCTCGGACAGCGACGGCGCGCCGCTCGCGGTCGCGGACCTGCCCAAGGACGCTGCCGTGGGCGAGCGGCTCCCACGGGGGTGAGGCCGGCGTCGGCTGCGCGGCGGATGGGGCGCCTGTGTCGATGGCGCAGGGCGAGCCCGACTGCCAGGTGGCCGCGGAGATGCTGAAAGACGAGGCCGAGGAGGTCCTGGAGGTCGGGCAGGTGCCCGAGCCCGTGGCGAAGGCGACGCCAAAGGCAGGACGAGCCGCTGGGCGCCCTGCTCCGCCTGGCTGTGGAGGCCGCGCTGGGTCCGATTCCGCGGTCCCCCGCCCTTGTGGCCGAGGGCGCCGAGGGGGGGCAGGGGGGGCGCGGAGGATGCCGAGCCCGCGTCTCTGGGCGCGCATCTTTGCCGGGCGCGCCGCGCTCCGACCCCGACTCCCGCGCCCGCGAGGGCGAGTGGTCCAGCAGGTGGCCGCGGCCGTGCGCCTGCTGACCGACAGGTGGCGCGCCTGGAGGCGCAGTTCGATGCGCCGCACGACGTGGTGTGCACCGCCCCCGATGGCGAGGGCTACGACGCCGCTTTCGTGTGCGGAGCCGTGAAGCATGACGCTGCGGTCGCCGCTGGCGGCGGCGCCACCCGCGGCGGCGGTGAGGGCATGCAAGACCGTATGCTGCACCTGGAGGCCGCCGTGCCCGAGTCGGCGGCCGCGAGCCTCGTGCAGGACATGTCGGACTCCAACTTCGGCTCAAGAGGCGGCCGTGGAGGGCGAGTCCGGCGGCGAAGCGGACCTCGAGGGCGCGTACGAGGTGCTGGACGCGTTCCCGTCCAGTGGCGCTGCTGGGCCCGCAGCAGGCCAGGCCATGGCTGCTTCGGATGGGGGCCATGAGGGCCTCCGCGCCTCGGAGGCCGTGCGCTGCTCGTGGGCAGACGTCAGCGACGCCGTGGGCGCTGGCGGCGACAAGTGCTTCGGCAACGTTGGCGGCGATGTGGAGGGCGCCAGCCTGGACGAGGAGGTCCAGGAGAGCGTGGAGACGACAGAGTCTGCGTCGGCGGGTGCGAGCCTCGTGCCTGACGTGGCGGACGGTCCTAGCCTCAACGTCTCCTGCGAGGTTCCTCCCCTGCCCTTGTCTTCCTGCGACTTCGCCAGCGAGGCGTCGGAGCTGGTTGGTAGAGGTGGTGCGCGAGCTGGCGGGTGTCTGCGAAACCTCGGCGATCGGGGCGTTCGACAGGCTCATCAATGGTGTCGGCGATATTCTCGAACGGCTGCACGCCGCGGGCGGGACCGACGACCAAGGGGAACTGCTGCTGCTGGGGATGCTTCGCCAGCGCGCCGCCTTGGCCTGCAAGGCACAGGACGGCGAAGCGAACAGGCAGCTGGGGAGAAATGGGGGCGGCCAATGAGGGGGTCGCCTCGCCTTGCGCTGTGAGTGAGTCCTGGCTGGGCCGCGAGTCATCGTTTGCAGCGTCAGTGAACTGTTTTTCACTTCTGCCACGGTCTGGGCCAGTGTGCCGGGCTCCGCGCGCTGCGCCAGGGGTTCGCGCACCGCTACTCGCCGAGCAGCCTCCGAGGCTCGTCGGCCTCCCTTGGGGCGCATGGGTTCGGGCCAGCCTTTCTTGGATGCCCGCTCTCTGCCTCCGGTGATCCTGGGGTTCTTGCAGATGAGGCTCGCCGAGCCTCTGTTTAAGCCTGTGGCTGGCCGTGTGGACCGGCTCTTGGCCATCCGCTGGTGGTGCCCACGCGTCATCATCGCTATCATCATCCAATCCTGGTCATCGTTCGTCATCGTCATGTCATCACCACGCCACCAAAAAAGCACGCACTCTCTTTCTCTCACACACACACGCACTGAGTGAATGGCGAGGAAGTCTCGAGCGGGAGCCCCCTTCTTATTGGGTCCCCACTTCATGTTCGAATCCCAGGCGGTTATCGGCGTACCACAGTAAACATCAATCTTGAACGCCACTTGCATGCGAATCATGGGGATGTCTCGAGCATCCTACGCGGGGCCTTCCTATGGGGCCCGCAGCTCATGCTATTATTCCGAACGTGGCAGCGGAAACCTGTAACCTTCGTCACTTTTGGTCTCCTCAAGCTTGACTATGAAGGAAGTCTCATGCGGGAGCCTCGTCTGTGAGTGAATTGTGGGGAATTCTCAGGCGGGGGCCCTCCGCTCATGTTATTAGTTATTCCGAGCGGCCATCGGGATCTTGTACCTGCTGTCGCTTTCAGCTTCTTCGAGCCTGAGTATGGAGGATGTCTCGAGCGGGAGCCTCGTCTGTGAGTGACTTGCGAGCGAGTATCAGGCGGGCGCCCCTTCCCTATGGTGCCCGCTGTTCACGTCATCAATCCGAGCTGGCCATGGGGAACTTGTGGCTTTCGTCACTTTTGGCTTACCCGCACTTGAATATGTAGGAATTCCGCAGTGGGAGCATCGTCGGTTATTGAGTTGTGAGGAAGTCTCAGGCGGGACCCCCCTCCCTATGGGGCCCGCAGTTTATGTTATTACTCCGAACAGGTCATCGGGATCTTGTAACTGTCGTTTCTTCTTGCCTCTTCAAGCTCGAGTATGGAGGAAGTCTTAGGCGGGAACGCCGTCAGTGAGTGAATAGCGAAGAATTATCAGGCGGGGGGGCCTTCCCTATGGTGCCCGCAGCTGTTGTTATCAATCCGAGCAGGTCATTGGGATCCTGTAAGTGTCATCGCGTTTAGCTTCTTCAAGCTTGAGTGCGGAGAACGTTTCGAGCGGGAACTTCGTCTGTGAGTGAATTGCGAGGAAGTCTCAGGCGGGAACCCCTACCCTATGGGGCCCGCCGCTCTCATTATGAATCCGAAGGGGTCATCGGGATCCTGTAGCTGTCGTCGTTTCTGGCCCTGCCAAGCTTGAGTATGGAGGAAATCTCAGGTGGTAGTCTTGCTTGTGATTGAATTGAGTGGAAATTTCAGGCGGGAGCCCCCTCCCCAAGGGGCCCCCAGTTCATCCGATTAACCCGAGCAGGCCATCATGATCTTGTAGCCCCATTCATTGTTGGTTCTTTTAAGCCTGAGTGCGGAGGAAGTCTCAGGCGGGAGCCCCGTCACTGAGTGATTTGCGAGGAAGTTTCAGGCGGGAATCCCCTTCCTATGTTGCCCGCGGCTCATGTTTTTTCGTCTGGGCGGGTCATCGGGACCCTGTAGGTGTCGTCACGTTTGGGCTCTGAGGTTTGAATATGAACGACGCCTCGAGCGGGAACTTTTCTGTGAGTAAGCTGCTGGTAAATCTCGAGCGGGAACTAATCGTCCTGTCTGCGACAGAATCGCGAGGAAATTGTGAGCGACAGCTTTCCCCTATGGGATTTTGTCGGACACGGCTTTGACGTTTTATTCTTCTATATGGATGGCGGGAAGTAGAGACCGACGGGCTGTGAAGAGCATGTCGCAGTACTGAAATTGCCAGCGAGTTGCTACAGGGAGCCGAAGGCGCTGACGATGACGGCGAGGCCGAGGCGCGGGCGAGGAACTTGCCCATGTTGAGGCCTAGCGAGAAGGGGCTCACGTTGCAGAGCTCGGGGCCGCACGTCCTGCGCCGTTCGGGATTCACCCTGCCGCACGCGTCCTACCTGAATTCCACGCTGTCGCAGGGTCAGACGCTGCGCAAGGGCGTCACCATTGACTGCGCCAGGGCTGAGGACGCTGATCGCAAGGGCATGTCGGACGAGCGCTGGTGGGTGCACCTCTGCGTCATTCTCCCGTGCCACGTGAATGCGGAACCGGAAGATCGTGAGGCCGCCCACGCCAGAGTTCTTGAATCGCGGGCCGCCGACGTCTTGCCGGAAGGCGCTCAGGGAGTTTGACAAGAGAGCGGGGGGCGCCAAGGTTGAGGCGGAGCAGGTCGCGGCAGAGCTGGGGTTCGCACTGCCTCCCGCCTGAGCGCGGCCGCGACTAGCTCGATACCTGCGGGGTTGTCCCAACGGCTTGCTCCTGCGCCCCAGCGGCTCGCGGCGATGTCCCAACGGCATGGCCCGCGGGGTTGCCCCAGCGGCTTCGCGATCTGGCCATCGGGGAACGCGCCCGAAACGGTCGTGGCGGCGACGGCCCCGTGAACATCGGATTGCATGCCCTTGCTAGGAGGGAGGGGGGTGAGGTGGGTGGGGGACACGGGGCAGGAGGATGAGGAGGCACAACAGGGGGCGGGAGGAGACCTTCCGCCAAGGCGGGTCTGATAAGGGCGATGCGGAGACGGAAAGAGAGCCTCCGCGCCCACGGGGACGAACGTGTGCTTCTCCTCTATAGTTTCATTTTTTTTGTTGTTTCATGCGGGGTCCAACCGTCGGAGTAGTTGGCGTAGAGACTACGCCAACTTGTGCCTCCAGTGAAAAAAACATTCCCGTTATTTGTGGTGCGTCGTGTTCATCCCAATCGCAACCCTGTTTGCAGACACTTGCCAAGTGTACCGCGCAGGACGACCAGATCCTGCCTGGCACGGGCGACGACGTGACGTACAGCGAAGGCACGGAAACCAGCTACCGCAACCCCAAGTTCAAGGCGGAACCACCATGCGGGTCGTGATTCGTGAGTCGGTCGGGGGCGACTGGGGATTGTGGCTTGGGGGAAACGTCTACCCGCAAGCTTGGGGTGCAGTTTAATTGTCGGGGGCCAGTCGGCATACTTAGCTTCATATATGTAGGTACATATATACACATATGCGTGTATGCGTGTATGTTTGTGTGTTTGTACGCATGTATTTGTATATGCGCATATATACACATACATTTGTACACACATATCGGTACATATGCATGCACGTATGCACGCACGTGAATATATGTGTATGTATGAACGAATGTGTATTGAGTTGCGTATGTATGTTTGCGTGCATGCATGTATGTATGCAGGCATGTATGTATGTGTGCATGTGTGCATACGTATGTATGTCAGTGCAGATGCATGCATGCATGCATGCATGTGTGTATGTGGGCCTGCGTGTATGTCTGTTTGCACATGTGTATGATGTACATATGTTTATACATGCAAACATCCATAGTACATATACATAAACATGTGCATTTGTGTGTCTTCATGTTTTCGTATATCCGTAGACGTATGACCGCATCAGCGTACGGATATACATAAGTATGCATCTTCTTGTATTCACGTGCATCGACGACCCCCCGCTTCCACCTCTCTGCCATTATCCCCTCCTTCGCCCTTCTGGATGGGCAGGGCGGGAGCTCTTCGTTGAAAGTGCGATGGCCCAGGCGTGCTCTGTGGAGTTCTGGCCTCGAAGGCTTCTCCACCATATCAAGCAAGAGTCTGCAGCTCGGGGTGAGGGGGATAGCTGACAGGGGGAGGAGTCGATTCAAACACCTCACACGCCTTTGTTACCAAGGCGCAGCGTGGGTCGGTGGAAGATGATTTCAGTTGATCTTATTGTTTCTGAGCTGTTCCTGCTCGGGTCGTGGGCCGTTATTGGCTTCCTTTTGAAAAGATATTGGTGAACGCCCGCAAGCTGGAAGAGACTGATGAGATGCAATGTCCTGTCTTATGACATGAATGTGTCTGTAGATTTATCCTATGGTGGGAGCACAATGCATTTCCTCGAAGGTAGAGGAGCTGCGTCGGTCAGCATGTTGTCTAAGTACAGAAGAAGAATGCCTACCCCAAGTTTGCAACCTGCCGTCAGCATACGGGCGCGTTCAAGACGGTCATCACGCTCCTGTCGCCTAGGGCTTCGACTTGGCCCTGGCGAGGGCCAGGGATCAGCAACGCATTGCGATTTTGGCATCATGTTCCTGGCCAGGCAAGTCCCAGACCCTTCCTGGTACTCTCGTTGCGGGTGCCAGTGTTGGCGTCGGTGATGGTGCCAGGTGCGGTGTCGGCGGTGGTGTCGGTGATGAAGAAGTTCGGACTGTCGTTGGTGATGGCGTCGGTGATGGTGTCGGAACTCCTGCCATAATTGCTGTACATCCCGCGCAGGTCCGCCTCGGGACTCCCCTCCGACGTATTCTCCCAGAGCTAGCCGGGGTTTCAAGGCCACGGCCACTTGTGGCGTGCGTGCTCGCTGATTTTCCAACGGAGACCCTGTGCTGAAATCGTGGAAAAAAGTAGAAGAGCCATACGCTAGCATCGCCAGCAGCGCCGTCTCCAACACGTGCGCCAGCGCCTCCACCTTTCCGATATCAACACCGACACCCGCACCGACGCCTACACCGACGCCAGCACCGACACTAGCGCCGACACCAGCATATGCACCAGCACAGACGCCCACACCGACTCCAGTTGCGACGCCGAGGCTGACAGATCTTTTTGACAGGTATATATTTTGAACCAGGTGATGGAAACTGACATCCACCAGATGGTCGTCGTATGTCGTGCGGTCCGGCACTGCGCAACTCGTCGGGTACCGACCGACTGACGTCGTTGAGATCATGATCACGTGGGTGCTATACCGCAGATCTGGATCCTCAAGCTGCTCGAGGGCACTGTGGGCTGAGGGACCAACAGGCCGTGAGCGTGAATCATTCCCTTCTTCCACTGCACTTTTTTGTTGATCGATGCGATGAGGTGGTGTTTCGTTTTCTTTAGCCTCTTGCTTGTGTCCGACGCTTGGGAGTTGTATGAAAGACGAGAGCTGCCCATGAAGGCAGTTGGCCACACTGGTCAGCCGCGTTGCTTAGCCTCGGCTCTTCGTTTATTCAGAGCACACGTGACCGATGTTATAACATGCTCGCGGCGTTTCCCACCTCTGCCGATATATTCTCCAATCAGAGCTTGCCTCTGTAGGGGTCCTAGCGGATTCATATGGTTAGGTGAGGTGTGCCACCGATTTCCGCGGCCCGCCCGGTGGCCGGATGCCAGGGTGCCTGGGTGCCCAGGTGCCCGGGTGCTTAAGTGCCCAGGTGCCCGGGTACTCAGGCGCCCGGGTGCCTTATAGCCTTATAGCCCTATAGCCCTATAGCTGTATAGCCTTATAGCCCTATATAGCCCTATAGCCCTATAGCCTTATAGCCGTATAGCCCCACAGTTCAAAAGGTCTATAGCCCTCCAGCCCAATAGGCCTAAAGCCCTATAGTCCCATAGCCTTCTAGCCTTATAGCCCTATATCCCTACCGCCCTAGAGCTCTATAGCCCTAAAGCCCTGTAGCCCTATAGCCCTACAGCCCAATAGCCCTAGACCCCCATAGCCCTATGGCCGTATAGCCCTATAGCCGAATAGCCCAATAGCCCTATAGTCCTATAACACTATATCCCTATAGCCCTATAGCCCTATAGCCTTATAGCTTTATAGCCCTATAGCCCTATATATCCCCATAGCCCTATAGCTCTGTAGCTCTCTATAGCCCTATAGCCCTATAGCCCTATAGCCCTATAGCCCTATAGCCCTATAGCCCTATAGCCCCATAGCCCCATAGCCCTATATCCCTCCAGCCCTATAGCCCTATGGTCCTATAGCCCCATAGCCCCATAGACCTGTAGACTCACAGCCCAATAGGCCTATAGCCCTACCTATACGACCACCCATCGGGCGATAAGGAAGTTGTGTGGGGGGAGAGGGGTGGGAACCAACATCTGACTCAATCGATCTCACTGTCGATCTCACTCAAGGGGACACCACGGGACACTTGTCGATCTCACTATCGATCTCACTATCAATCTCCTCAACGGGACACTACGGGACACCACGGGCCACCACGGGACACCACGGGACACCGCGGGACACCTTTCGATCTCGATATCGGTCTCACTATCGATCTCACTATCGATCTCACTCAACGGGACACTAAGGGACACCACGGGCCACCACGGGACACCACGGGACACCGCGGGACACCTCTCGATCTCATTATCGGTCTCACTATCGATCTCACTATCGATCTCACTCAACGGGATATCATAGGACACCACGGGACACCACGGGACACCACGGGACACCACGGGACACCGCGGGACACCGCGAGCCACCGCCGGACGGGCGGGCGGGGGATAATCATTTGTCTTGACTTCGCCCTAGCAGCGGCGGTTTCATTCCTCTCGCGCGCCCACGCTGCTTCGCCTCGCCCGCACGCACGACACGAACGAAACGACACGATTTCCCAGTTGGGGGTCTCCGTTCCACTGCGATCTCCCCCCCAGCCTCCGATAGCCCCATAGCCCCAGAGCCCCATAGCCCCATAGCCCTATAACCTTACAGCCCTATAGCCCTATTAGTTCTACAGCCCTATAGACCTATAGCCCGATGGCCCTATAGCCCTATAGCCCCATAGCCCTATAGCCCCATAGCCCCATCGCCCTATAGCCCAATAGCCCCATAGCCCTATAGCCCTAAAAAGACTTAGATTGGGTGTTTTCTCCAGTATCATACACAGATATCTATACACAAGTATATATACACACACACACTCGCACGAGTAGCCTGCCAGTGGAGCCTCGCGCTGTGATCTGGAGAACGTCGCCTTTCCCTCCCCTGCCGCTCGTTCGCTTTCCCTCCTCTCTCCTTCCCCTCCTCCTTCTTTCCGACACTGCCCGTGCAGGAGAAGTGTGCGGGGCCCGCAGGCAAAAGGACCGATCGGCGTGCGCATGTGCGGGCTTTCCTTCTCGCACTCGTGTGGGGGGCCGTTTGCGGGCGTCCCCGGCTAAGTCTGGGTTCGCTTGCGTATGTACCAGCTGTGCGCCCCTCCCTGGCTCCTTTCCTTTCCTCCTCCCCCTGCTATCCTCCTCCTCCTCCGCTTCCTCCTTTCCTTTCCTTTCCGTTCCTCATTCTTCTCCTCCTCCTCCTTTCCTCCTTCTCCTCCTTCTCCTCTTCCTCCTCCTTCACTCCTCCTCCTCCTTCTCCTCCTCCTCCTCCTCCTGCTCATCCTCCTCCTTCGTGTGAAGTTTGCATAGCTGACCAGGCGCTCCTCAGTCGCACTGCACGTTGCGCGGCAGCTCTGCTGTTGCGGCTCGCGGCCCCAGAGCTCATTGAGTCCATGGAGGCACGGTTGGTAGCTGGTTCTCTTGATCGTTGTTGGGGGAGAAACGCCCTTCCTGTTTTTTCACTCGGTAGCAAATCATGGGAGCCTGTCGTACCCTGTTAATTCCGTCTTTAGCGTCGACTAGCGTCGAGCGTCTGAGAGTCGATGAGATAGCGCCCATTTAGCGTCGGCTAGCGTCGATTACCGTCGATTTAGCGTCGATTGGCGTCGGTTTAGCGTCGATTAGCGTCGATTCGCAAGAGCCCACAAGATGGTATGGGAGGCTCCCATCAGTTGCCAGCGAATTCTCAACGCCGTTGTATTATCAGAAGGGTCTGTTCCTCCTGCTGGTCCTTCGTCTCGAGCCATTTGGGCTCAAACGTTTGTCCTCGAACCAGGTGTGCGTGGAAGGTTTCAGGTTCGCAGAGCGACGAGGTCGACGATACCCGCCCTTCCGCCGTCAGCGCTCCCCTAAGCAGAATCGGACCATGGACTTCGCACCCCTCACAGACTTGGACTCCGACGAAGTCGTGGCGCCGAAGGAGAGCCTCAGGCCCCCACGGCGACCTCCCTGTAGACCGACCAGCCTGGAGATTGCCACTCCCTCGGGCACCTTCGGGAGGCTCGAGCTGCCTGCAGGCTGCACGCTGGCCAGCTGGAAGAGGCGGCTGGGGAGCGGCGAGGCGCTCGGAGACAGGATCGCCTACGCGAGCAGGCTGCAGCACTACAGGGCCGTGGGCGGCACGGCGCGCCTGGAGCCGCTCGCGGACGCGGAGCCGCTGCCACGGCTCCCGGACGCGCTGGCCGTCTTCGGGCCGGCCAGCGTCCTGAGGATGCTGGAGATGGCCCTTGTCAAGAGAGCCGGCGCCCCAGACTCACCACCCACCAAACCACCCCAGCCCAACCCGAAGGCCTCAATTTGCCCTCCATTTCCAGTGTGGGGGGGGGGTCGAGGAACGTTGAAAAAACACATGGAACCCGTACGTACCCCCCCCCAACCCGAAATTCAGGTCAGATTCGGCTCTTCGGGTTGGGTTGGGGTGGCCTGGTAGGTGGTCACAGACCCCTCGAGGCCGATCGGGGCGCCGGCGGCGGAGGCGCCCGCCGCTCTGCCCCCGGAGGGCGGCGGCCGCGCGGCAGGCCTGGAGTTCCACTTCCGGTCGGCCTGGGGCCGGCGCCCCGCCCAGGAGGACCGCGCGTGCGCCGCCGCCGTGCCGGGCTGCGGGGGCTGGGCCGCCCTCTTCGGCGTGTTCGACGGCCACGGCGGCCCCCAGGCCGCGGACTTCGTGGCCCGCAGGCTGCCGGAGGCGGTGGGCGAGAGGCTGCGGGAGGACCGCGGCGACCCCGGCCGTGCTCTGGCAGGGGCGTTCGCCGCCGTGGACGACGAGCTGCGCGCCAGCGGCGGGGCGAGGGGCTTGTATGACCTGGTCGGAACCACTGCGACGGTGGTGCTGGCGACCGGGGCGCCCCGCGGGCAGCGCTGGCTGCACTGCGCGAGCGCCGGCGACAGCAGGGCAGTGCTGTGCAGGGGCGGCGCGGCGGCGGAGCTGTCCCGCGACCACAAGCCGGAGCTGCCGGAGGAGAGCGAGCGCATCAGGGCCGCGGGTGGCCTGGTCGGGCCTCATGGCCGCATCGTGCTGTGCGGCCAAGGTGGGCTCAACCTGAGCCGGTCGATGGGCGACTTCGCGTACAAGGCTCAGAAGCACTTGGCCGCCGACGCGCAGATGGTGATCCCACATCCGGAGGTCCGTTCCTGTCGCGTTCGGGAAGGCGATGAGTTCTTCGCCATCGGCAGCGACGGTTTGTTCGAGTCGTGCGGCAGTGGGGAGCTCGTGGCATCCATCAGGGGCGCTTTTTCGCGCGGCTTGCCCGTGGAGCTGGTTGTGAGGGCGCTCTTGCAAGAGGCGACCTCAGGCGGTGACAACACTACCTTATGCTTGGTTCGCTTCGAGCAGTGAGTAATATTTCAGGCCTGCAGCTGCGAGGCGCAACCAGATCGACATATACAGCTTTCGGTGGTTGACGTTGGGCTTACAGCAGGATTTGTATTTTTCGTTTTTTCATGCTTGTGGTCTCTCGGCGGGTCCCGTGATCCTCGTGCGAACTGAACGGCGAGCACAAGCCGCACGAGACGTGGACCGGCCTGGGGGACCTGGGCACTGTTGAGAGCTCGATTGGGCCGAAGAGGACACACCGACATAATCAGAACTTTCGAGGGTCCGCACGGATTTCTTGGACCTGCGCTGGAGCCCCCTGGCAGCGCCTCTGGCGCCGCCCCTGGCTTGCTCCGCGCGCCGGGGAGGGGGGGTTCAGCGCGGATATAGGAAGTCTGCGCGGGCCCTCGAAAGTTTATATTCTGACGTCTTGGCTTCTTCAATTGAAGGCTCGGTGCGCACTAGACGCGATACAGAGTACAGGATCGGGTGGATGCGTTACCTCGCGGCCAATGTAGCGGACGGAGTACGCCAGGTTCGTGTCGTGCCGGCGCGGTGGCGGCCCCAGCGCGGTCGTTCCAGGTTGCACGATGCCGGTGGCCCAGAGTCGCCCGATGTCGAACGATTTGCGGGGGAGTTGGAGGAGGAGGAGGAAAAGAAAAAGAGATGAGGAGGAGGGAGGAGCGAGGAGCGAGGAGGGAGGAGGGAGGAGGGAGGAGGGAGGAGGGAGCAGGGAGGACGGAGGAGGGAGGAGGGAGGAGGAAGGGGAAGGAGGAAGGAGGAAGGAGGAAGGAGGAAGGAAGAAGGAGGAAGGAGGAAGGAGGAAGGAGGGAGGAAGGAGGAGGAGGAAGGAAGGATGGAAGGAGAAGGAGGAAGGAGGATGCTGATGCTGATGATGATGATGATGATGATGATGATGTGATGCTGATTGCTGATGATGATGAGGATGATGATGAGGATGAGGATGATGATGATGATGATGATGCTGATGATGATGCTGATGCTGATGATGATGATGATGCTGATGCTGATGCTGATGCTATGATGCTGATGATGATGATGATGATGATGATGATGATGAGATGAGATGATGATGATGCTGATGCTGATGCTGATGATGATGATGATGATGGATGCTGATGATGATGTGATGATGATGATGATGATGATGATGATTGATGATGATGATGATGATGATGATGATGATGATGATGATGATGATGATGATGATGATGGATGATGAGGATGATGAGGATGATGGAGGAGGAGGAGGAGGAGGAGGAGGACGAGGAGGAGAGGAGGAGGAGGAGGAGGAGGAGGAGGAGGAGGAGGAGGAGGAGGAGGAGGAGGGGGAGGAGGAGGAGGAGGAGGAGGAGGAGGAGGAGGAGGAGGAGGAGGAGGAGGAGGAGGAGGAGGAATGGTCCATGCGGTGCCAGAATTAAGGCCGAAGTCGTCACGACACGAGCCTGCCACTGCCTGAGAGTGAAGGCATCCGTCCGCTCGAAGGCCGAGTGAGCACAGCAGGCCTGCTCCACGAAGCGCAGTGCGCGCCCGCGAAGGTTCCTTCAAATCGGCAGCCACTCCCAGGCAATTCATCCTCTGCAGGAATGGACTTCCGCAGCTGCTGCCGCTCCTCATCCTTCTCCCCCTCCCTGGTTGTCCTCCTTCTCCTCCCCATCCTCCTCTCTCATTCTACTCCTCATACGGGTTGCTACTCCTTGTCCTTCTGCTGCCGCTGCTGCTGATCCTTATCCCCCTTCTCCTCTTCATTGTCTGCCCTCTCCATGTCCTCCATGTCCTCCTCCTCCTCCTCTCCTCCTCCTCCTCCTCCTGAGTATCATACTTGTTTCCCCACCCACATTTGGCATCCGCCTCATCGTCTTCCTCCTCATCATGCTCATCCTCCTCCTTCTCCTCCTCCTCCTCCTCCTCTTCGGCCCTCTCCTCCTCATCTCCTCGGTTCATCTCCGTACTTCTGTATCGGATTGAGTCCTGCGGGCCATACAGAGGAGGATCAAGCATGAAGAGGAGGAGCAGGGTGACGACGAGGAGGACAGAACATGAGGAAGGTCAAGGGGGGAATGGCTGGAGGACGAGGACGAGGACTGGAAGAGAAATAGTTGTGGAGTAAGAGGGTGTAAAGGATGAATATTGGGAGGATGCGGAAGACGAGAATGAGGAGGATATACAGGGGTAGGGAGGATGATGATGGGAACGGGGGATGTGTAGGTTCAGGGAGGAAGCGTAGAAGCATAAGGAGCAGTTGGGGAACAGGAGGATGAAGAAACATGGATATGATAAAGAGGAGGGGGAAAGGACGATAATGACGACAGGAGGCGGAGCCAGAATGATGGGGCTGACGAGGAGGAGGAAGATGAGGAGGAGAAGGAGGATGATGATGAGGAGGAGGCGGAGAAGGAGGAGGAGGGGGAGGAGGAGGCGGGGAAGGAGGGGGAGGAGGAGGAGGTAAGATAAGATAAGATAAGACCAATCACGAAGTGATATCCAATTCCAGAGTCTCTTATTGGTGTGCAAGCACGAGCATGACACACGCACACGCGCACGCACACACACAAGCGAGACAATGCAAGCAAGCCAACAACTCCAAGACACATGATTCCACTGCCTGTCGGACATATGCTAAACGGAGGCGAATCAGACTCGATGCGGCCCTACCAGTCAACAGAAAGGTCAACGGGCAACCCTGCAAGCCATAGTTGCTCCTGCACCTATGGGTCCAAAACAGAATCGTCTTTTCCAACAACCATCTCGCATAATAGAACGGGCAGCTCGTCAAGGCCCCATCCAGAAGTGTATAGCATGGCCCGAACAAAATGCTGGGCGAGAATCGCACTGCAATCAACATTACCATCAGAGAAACGTGAGGCAATAACACAATTGCAATACACAGCGTGTGACCAACACCATGTGTGACATGGGAGGAACAACAACGATTGCAAAAATCAAATGCCCACTGCAGACGTGGCTATTGTTGCTTACAGTTCGCTGGATCGTCCGACGGCGGCGCGATGCCAGGGATCGTCCTCCCAGATCCGTGCGAGCCTGCAGGAACGCTGCCAGCTGAGTCGATCTGCGACCCCCTCGTGCTGCCTGCCCAGCCCGCCACAGCGGCCAGCGGATGGGCAGTCATCCCCCGTAGGGGCCCTTGGGCCGCGCCCTCGGCGCCCGCAGCTGGTCCGCCCAGCGGCACGGCAACCGAGCCGAAGCGGCCGCCCTGCATGGCCCGCAGCACGTCCGTCGCCGTCGACTCCTTTTCCTTCTCGTTCTCCGCCGCCTGCTCGGCCGCGATGGCCTCTGCCCGGCTCTCGGCGACCACCTCTGCGAGCTCCCCGCGAAGGGCACGGACCATGTCGGCGAGGCTGGGCTCCGCCGCGCCCCCCGTCGCCGCCGTGGGCTGGGGCGCGTCGTCAGGCGGTCCCTCCACACGCTCGGCCTGGGACTCACGCTCGATGCCGAGGTCGGCCGCCTCGGAGCCGGTGGCATCCTCCGCAGCGACGTCCGGCGAGGCCGCGGGCGCCAGAGCTGCGGCCAGGGCGGCCCCCAAGCGCGTGGGGGCGCCTCCACGATGGCCGCGCAGCTCGGCGAATGCCGCCAGGAGCCGCTCGACCGTGCGGCACTCGGCGCGGCGATACTGCGCCCGCCTAGCCGCGGCCGACCGGTTGGGGCGACGCCGCCTCGGCTCCTCCATCACGGCCCACGGAGGGATGGAAGGCACGCGGCGGGAGGAGAGAGGGCGGCGCGGGGGGGCGCCGGTGGCGCTGGCTCGCGCCGAGCCCGCAGGGCTCGGGCCGAGCTGGCAGCTGGGGGAGGAGGAGGAGGAGGATAAGGAGGAGAAGGAGGATAAGGACGAGGAGGTCGAGGAGGAGGAGGAGGCGAAGGAGGCGGAGGAGCAGGAGGAGGAGGAGGAGGCGGAGGGGGAGGAGGAGGAGGAGGAGGAGGAGGAGGAGGAGGAGGAGGAGGAGGATGAGGATGATGATGCTGCTGATGGTGATGATGATGCTGCTGATGCTGATGTTGACGACGACGATGCTGATGATGATGGTGATGACGCTGATGCTGCTGATGATGATGACGATGCTGCTGATGATGATTCTGATCATGATGGTGATGATGATGCTGACGATGATGATGATGCTGATGATGCTGATCATGATGCTGATGATGATGACGATCATGATGATGATGCCGATGATGATGATGCTGATGCTGCTGCTGATGATGCTGATGATGATTCTGATGCTGATGATGCTGCTGATGATAATGATACTGATGCTGATGATGCTGCTGCTGATGATGATGATGCTGATGATGCTGCTGCTGATGATGATGATGATGATGCTGAGTATGATGTTGATGATGATGATACTGCTGATGATGATGATGATGCTTATGCTGATGCTGATGATGATGATGCTGATGATGCTGATGATGATGATGATGATGATGATGATTCTGGTGATGATGATGCTGATGATGCTGATGATGATGATGATGATGATGACGATGATGATGATGATGATGATGATGATGATGATGATGATGATGATGATGATGATGCTGATGATGATGATGATGCTGATGATGATGATGATGATGATGATGATGATGATGATGATGATTCTGATGCTGATGATGATGA